CTTGTTGGCAATAGCTTCAGTAGCGATTCGTGTCCCGATCAACCGTCATAACCCTTAGCCTTGTTGCCTCTCCACAAGCTGCACTCATACCCACGAATATGAGCTCTTCAGAGCCAATACTGAGTACCTGCCTAGAATTCGCAGTCAACTCCGTACAGAGAGACACCGCCTCTGGCCGTTGTGAGGGCCATTATCCGATGGATCGCAGGTGACTTCGCTCATCCGCTTCTGTCCTGGTCTTGTCTCAGAATTCCCCAGTATGCGGATGACTTATCACTATTAGTCCTTCTCGAAGCAGCAGAATTGGACGTATAGTGGGCGACATGTCTTGAAACAGCCTGGTGCGGGACAGCGGCCACAGCCAACAACAAGAGGCCCACCGTTCATTAGGAGGCTGCTGATAGTTGAGCTGGCCGGCCGCAGGACAATGCATCATCGCAGAGTTGGCAACAACTTTGCATAGAGGCAAGCTTGTTGTGCCATGCAAGCGCCTTTCTGCCCATAGGGTACGGGGTCTGGCTGGCGTCGTTCCGCACCATGGCACCACCCGCCGCCCGCTCATGCTTTGCCAACTCAGAATTTCAGCCCGCTGGCTCCTTCGGTTCGCAAATATCGGTGTCAATTCACGATCCCGCCGTTTCCGAACCCAGCAGATAGACGGGCGACCCATCCATATGCGGTGGTCAAAAGGAACGCCCCTGACTGAACCTGGGCCCATGTTCCGGGCCTTACGAAATGCTCCACGTATTCTGGAATATCCTTTTTTCTTTTTCTCACAGAGAGGGGCGGGCTAGACCACTGGGACAGTGGGCTACTTACGTGCCCACCGCCCACTTTCAGAAGTCGTTGTTCGAGCTGTCGTGCTGCTGCTCTGCCACTGCGACATGGTCTGGGGATGGGGACGGTGTGGCTGAGATGCTTGCAAAAAGGAGTCAATCTTATCAATGAGCAAGCACTGCTTGTACTTGCTTGAGCCTAGCACGTTCAAGACGGAGACAAGGACGCGGCCAGTGCCTACGGAGTACATGCCCACCAGGGCAAAAAGGCAACGTGGAAGAGGTCGAGCGTTTCCAACGTCTGTTCTCATCAGACTCTGCAGGCGACAAAAGCAAGCAATCTAAGACCGACTCAGGCGATGCTGTGACTTTATTTTGCGACGCATGAGATGCAGCAGAGAGACCTTCACTGCTACTTCCCTGACTCGTATCGACTGAACACTTGGAGATGACGCTGTTTGGGGTAGAATGAGAGGAACATGAAGGACATTGAGAGAACCAAAGTAAAGAAAAGAAGCAAAAAGACCAAAATCGATCATTGAGTCTGTCCCGCGTAAAGTTGGAACGAAGGATTTGCTTTTTGCGGTGGCGAGAGCACCGGTTTCGTCCAGACTTGAGCGTTCCCATGTGGACTGGTCCATATCGTCGGGTCCCCTTCGCGAACGAGCCTCTTTTTGGATGAGGGACGAACTTCATCGGGCTAGGCGCCGCTTTCGACAGGTCCATCACTTGCCTTAGGACGGACACGGACATCACGGCAGTAAGGTCTACGACTCACAGACCCTCTCTCTACGACGACGACGACGATGTCGTAGGCACGGGAAGTTATCTTTCCACTCATATATGTCGAGGCCTTTAAGGGGTCTGCGGAAAGCCGCGAGGCCTGGGTGGGAATCATGACATGCTACTTTACAACTTCACAAGAGTATGGCAAGGAGACCAGGGTCTTTACAATCTGCTCGATACTACCTCTAGACGCAGAAACGCGCAAACGACATTTCCATCAGGTGCAACAGTCGGCTGCCTAGAACGGATAGATCATCGACGAACCGATGCCGCTCCAACACAACACCAGCCTCAAGGCAGCGACAGCTTGGCCTCACCCACTCCAACGAGGTCTACCAGTGTGGCACAAAAGGATTCTCGTAGAACAGAGTGGGATTGACCTTGTGCCGACATGTTCACGGTAGCACGGCGGCGCTGCACGCAAGCGGCGAAGCCAAACTCCACTTCCGAAGCCTGCCACTCCATGTTCAATGATGTATCCGTTCGACACTTGGCGTCCGTGTACACGTCCATCACGAGCTGCACAGCGAGGGCCAACCCAGCATGCCAGGTTCGCTTCCACTTACTGTGTACATAGGGAAACTCTGACAAACGTAACCTATTTTTTTTCTTTTGCCCAGAAACACACTTAGACGCGCAGTCATATCTACTGTGGACTCGTGTCTGAATTTCCGTATACAATGTTTGAAGCCAAAGCGCCTCAGCCGTCAAACGCATTTACACAACGAATCCTTCCCTAGGGGACCCGTGGGGACGTGCAATAGCACCGTTCAGTTCCCAGTCCAATAGTTTATAGCTGTCAAATTATGCGTATTACATGTATGGAAAGTGTACCAACAAAAGGGGCAACGATCCGATGCCAGAGACGGGAGCCCGTGGATCATGCACCTGTCATCCGCAGACGCAGAGCAAACTTGACATTCTGTATTTGTACGAGTATGGATACAGATCAAATTCCACTTAAGGATTTCCAATGGTGTCTTGGTGTATTTGGTCTCATGGGCTGAAGACCAGGGGAATCCATTGACCACATTTCGCTTGAGTCGATTGCCCATCATCGGTGAGATTAACGATCGAAAGGGGGCAGCGGTCAGAGGCCGGGGTAGGTTGACCACATGATTAAAGACCGGCCCTGTCAATAGCAGCATCGCCAGTTTCCGTATCCACCAAGCACGTCCCAAAAAGAATCAATCCAAGCACGCCAGGCAAAGGCAAGCCAAGCCCAGGTTTGACAAGCAAACAGGCTGACAGGGTCCCCTCTGACAGAGTGAGCTGAGCTATCCTCTCTCTCAGTCTCACCTGTGGTGACCGAAGAGTCGAGGACGCCCCGGTACTGGGCCGGGTCGGACTCGAGCCCCCCAAACGCTTACCGTCGCTGTCGAGACTAAACATCGGATGAGTTGCCGCCGAAGCTGTCGCTCACCCGTGTCATCGCTACAATGCGTCGGGACATGTTATCAACCTAGGTAAACTGGAATTCCACGGTTCCAAAATCCAACGGCCCAAGCGACGACCATCCCACCGGTTCCCCCAAGATAGAAACTTTGGTACAGATGCAGTGACTGTGTTTGAGTCGGGATTCTTTGACCAGGCCCCTCTCTCCCGCCTCAATCGGGTGAACCCTTGATCGATAGATTGGCGTCTATCGCCGGAGCCTGAACATGGCACGCATGACATCTGGCACCGCAATGTCTCACAAGACGAGGTTCGAAGACGGTACACGGCACGCTGCTGCTGCGAAGTCTAATTCAACTTGCTGATCCAGATCAGCAACCAGACAAGGCCCCTGACATCAGAGGGTCAGGCAGAATCGAAGCCAGCACCCTCCTCGGGGAAGATCTATGACACATCCGCCAAAAAACATTTTCCACTCGAGCAAACGCCATGATGGGGGACACACAGACACGGCTCGTCATTCGTCACTGATCGCTCTAACAAACTTGCAGAGCTTGCAGAGTAGAGTTCGGACCGGGCTGCCAGTACAACTCGTCGGTTTGACTCGCTCAACACCACCACATCCTCCTTCGGACGAAGGCTCGTGTTAAACTTGGAAGTAGGAACTGCACTCTGGAGCTTTGGCCCGTCATTGCAGCACGGATGTTCTCGCATCCATATTGGGATTGCAACATCGCCCTGCACTTTAATCCAAGCAGAGCAGCAAAGCCCAGCTGCCAAGCTGGCTACGCTAGCAAAAGCACCCCCTCACGGTTCACACCCCCTCGAGCGTCGCAATGATTTTTCAGAAGAGGACAGTCGGCGATCCATCCATCCAAGATCCCAGCCCCGCTGCAGAGTAAGGCTAACCAAGATCTGCTGTGGATGAGGCGGTTGCCATCAGCCCCATCCTATCCTATTCCATCCCATCGTGACTTTGCGTGCCACCGTGCCTACGAGGTTGTTTCGTCACCCTGCTTCGCTCGTCTGTGTTTTCCTAATATCTATGCTACAACGTCTCCGTTCCCATCCAGATTCGGCATGAGAAGTGGACTCACGGTCAGAGCTTTCCAGCTTAGGATGTCGAAGCTCCGGAACCAGGCGACCAGGGTGGTTTGGCCATTTTCAGGAGACGCGGAGGCCCATCGCTGTTTCGCGATTCTCGAAAGGTAAATTTTGATATGCGCTGCTTCAAGCCTGAGGGAACAATAGAGCATTGCAACTATTCGCAGGCCTTGCTCATCTCCATTGGACGCCAGCTCTGTCTGTTTGACTGTTGCCCGTTAGACTTGGCTGCGCGAATGTAGATCAGACATATCTCGCCGCGAAATCGGCATGCTTTATTAGGCATGGAGGGCCGACATCCTTCTTCTCTGACAGTCCCCGCCCCGATGCCAGATGATGATCCTCCCCCCTCCCATGATACATCCCTAAAAGATGCATGTGCCCATCTCTGCGAGAGGAAGTAGGACGTGAAAAGCAAAGAAGGTTGAGATAACCGCCCCATGTGCCTTCAAGGCCCCCAAAAGCTCAAACCCTTGCCGGGTTGATCATCGGAGCTCGGTTCACCACTTGCGCAAGCCGCTTATTGAAAGCATTTCTTGTTCAAATCCTTCTCCTCCTCCTTCTCCGACCCGCTTCGCGAAGCCGGAGACGGTATCCTAATGTTACAACAACTCTTCCTGGGCGGTGGACCTGACAAGCAGACGACCTTGTATCTGCCAGAACCAGCCCTCCTCGCTCATCATGAACCCTGATCCGGCCGCCTCCGTCGGTCGATGTCCCGTACGGTAACGATGGCCAAAAACTCCACCGACAAAGGCCTGGGTGAGAGAGTCCGAGTCGGGTATGCCCCCTCCCCTTTCCCACGGCCCATTGCCAAACATGTTCATTGCTGCCCGTCCCCGGTTGCTTCGGCCGCGTTGTCGAAGTTTCGTAAACCCTACCACGGCAAATCCCTCCCAAAGTTTGAGCGGGCCGCGCCCGCCAAACCTCAAAGTCCCATCATGCAGAGCTGACATCTCGAAACAGGCTAACAGCTGAGAAGAAAGGCGCCAGCATGCGGTGCTGTGCCGCACCGAGGCTGCAGGCAAACTGCACCATGAGGTTGTTCGGTAACGCTCTAGTCAGCTTGGTGAGGTCAGCGAAGGTGCAGAAGCCGAATTTGCCAGAGGTCTCAAACCCGCCTGTATGTATCCGTAGAATAGATACGCCATGATCCATCGTTCTTCGCAGCCCCCACTGGCACGAGACCGCACTCGTGAATTCGGTCGCGGGAGATCTCGCCGATGCTGATACGACGTCGCCCGCTTTCCGGCATGACCCCCTCACCCTTTGCCTTTCGCCCCCCGGGGGCTTCCACTCAAACCTCGAAGAGAAAAGCCAAGAACAGCAGCCTAAAGCGAGTTGGAGAGGGCAAGGCCCGCACGACCCGGCGGCCGGTGGACGGCCCTTCTTTGCCCACTCGCTTGCATCTTGTGAAGATCGAGCTTGCAGAAAACTCTGAGCGTCGTGCTGGATAGGACCCGCCGCCGGTGTTCCAGTTGGCGGGGTAGAGACTATCGTGAGGGAGGAAAAAAAGTCTTTCGCGGGGTAAGGGTTGGCCGTGCGAGGGGCGACTTTTCGACTGCCGATGTTGAAGGGCGTTTTCTTCTTTTTGCTCCTTCCTTTCTTCTTTTGATACGGAGGATTCGGTGTTTGTCCGGCTATATTGGATATGCGGTTTGCGTCCTGCACCATGCAAGGTCGTTCTCTCGCTTCTTGTTGGCGGGTATCATATCAAAGGAGATATGCGTGTCCGTCTCCAACGAGGTCCGCTGTGCGTGTCTTTGCCTCTTCGATATGCGATTGCGTGATTCCGCTTGTTTCTTTTTGGTTCCTTCAGAGGGAAGAGGCGCAGATGCGTTGCTACCTCTTCGCTCGCCTTTCAACCTTCTTCATATTGTGTAAGTCTTTACTACATCAACAATACAAGTGGATCCATGCCCAACTTACTACAACTCTGATGGTAAGAATATGGGTGTGACTTGCTACGCAGACGAAGTATTACGGCAGCTTGCTCCAAAGCTTGATCAAATGCTTTGCGAAGCCTCTCACCATTTCCGCAGAGTGTCTTCTACACTGAGCATAATTCTATATAACAGACGTATGCGCTCACAACTCAATGCATTCATAATTCGCCCTTTCACCATGGAGGGAGCCCATTTATGTATAGCACACGTATAAAATGAGCCCTTATGCTACCACAAGCGTGCTCTTGGTACGGCTTCGAAGCTGTGATAGAAGTGAGATGGGTGGCAGCTCCAAATTATCTCATGAGCACTGGTACGCGTCCATCCGATGCAAGTACTTGCTGATAGAACTGTGTCTATCTTAAAGGAAGATGATGCGAGGGCCCATAAGAGTCTACAATCGAACCTGAAAAGGCTGAGATGCAACCTTCCTATTAGGACATCGATAGTTGCTTGTATACTGCTACGAACAGCATCTTGCTCCCGAAGTACTTGGCTGCACAGAATTACAGGTGTCATTTTCGCACATATACAGCCGGGCATATAGAGAGATTCAGTACTTCATTAGAACTTGACGTCATCAGGCTCACTACTCTGTTCGACTGTCAGATTCAATACCTGTACTTCTTCAACTATGATATTGCACTATGCTTGATCCTTATACTTAAGGCCGGTTCGATTTCCTACCCGACTTTCTTCTGAGGTCTCGAATGGTTAGAGGAGTGTCAACCCACTGCAACATTGCATCCGAGGACTGTACACCGTACACTGATAATATATTTAAGATCAACATCAAAGTCATACTACTACGGAAAGCATGTGAATTGTCGGTAGCGGCTTAAAAAGGTGAAGCACGTTGGAGCTCAACTGGTTCAGTCGGAGAACAACTTGCAACGTCCCGTACGGCGGGATAGGGAGACAGCTCAGGCTTGCGCAATTTATGGCGTTGATGGATTGTGGGTTTATAACCTGCTGAAGCCATGGAACTATCATTTCTCACGACGTTGACCTCCGAGCGATGGCCAGGAATACTTAGCACACGTTGAGTGTAATGTCAGTGGTATCAGTTGTTTTTTCGAAGTAACTGATCTGTTCAGACGGTCCATGATTCAAGGCCGTATTTGAAGTATTTCCTCTATTCCTAGGTTGCAACGTTTCCAGCCACCACGAAGTACCTTATTAAAAGAGGTCAGCCAAGGTCTGAACACGTTCACCCTTTTTAATATCATGTTGAAAAGGGAAAGAAAAAAAAAGAGTTCACCACGGATGTGGCTATATCTCTTGGTGCTCATGCTGGGAATCGAACTCAGAGCCTGTCGTCGAGTAAGGCTATGGGCGAATATATTGATTGTTGATCTCGAACCATTCCACCACCCAACCAGTTTGACCTGACCCGTCGACCTAGACGGGCGCCTGCTGGCTGGTGACGGGAATATACTTGTAGTGGTAGACAAAGGCTTCCTACGTATCCAGGCGACAGAATATGCTGTAACGGCAGCAAGGACGGCACTCGCAGCCTCTCGGTACGTGGACTTCAGGCTTAATATATAACGTGTTCCTTTCACGTAGAAAAGAATACTTCAATGGGAGATTTGATCAAGTCAATTTTAACCTATGATATGCATGGGCATTTTCCTCGCCCGTCTTTTGATTGAGTGGGTAGTACTAGTACATAATGTGACACCCGGCGAGTCTCCTATCTTGTGTGTGTCTGTCCATCAACGCCGGCTCCGTACTCTCTCCAAGTAATCATTTCTGTCCCGCCGCCTGGTCGAAGCTCTCAAGCACCGAATCCTTCAGCTGCTTGGGTTCCCCGGACGCTCCCTCGCCAGACTCCTCCGCCGATTCGTTGCCGACCAGCTGCTTCGCCATCGTCCTGGCCTGTGCCTGTCCAACCTTGCCGTACACGCTCAGGCCGGTGGCAATCATGCTCGAGATGTCTCCCACGTTTCCGGGGACTACGACAGCCGTGCTCTCCTTGGCCAGCTTGCCAAACGCGTCAACGTACTTCTCGGCAACGGACAAGCTGATGGCGCCTTGTGCCGCATCCTCGCCATCGGCAATGCTCTTGGAGACGGCCTCGATACCAGCGGCGGTAGCCTTGGCCTTCATGAGGATGGCCTCGGCCTCACCAGACGCCCTGTTAATCTGCTCGGCGCGCAAGGCCTCGGACGCCAGAATGACGCTCTGCTTCTTACCCTCGGCGATGTTGATGGCCGACTGCCTCTGACCCTCAGAGTCGAGGATCTCGGCGCGCTTCGAGCGCTCGGCGGTGACCTGGCGGTGCATGGCTTCGACGACGCCGGCGGGGGCGTGGATGTCTCGGATCTCGTAACGGAGGCAGGTGACGCCCCAGGCCTGGGCGGCTTCGTTGATGGCGGCGGTGATGTTTGTGTTGAGGGCGGCGCGCTCCTTGAGGACGTGGTCGAGGGTCAGCTGGCCGATTTCGGATCGCATCGTGGTTTGCGCCAGCTGGGAGATGGCGTATTCGGCATCTTCGACTCCGTAGCTTGGGGTATACTGTTAGAATTCTACTACGATACCGTCGAGGGGTGTGTTGACAAACCTGGCCTTGTAGGCGTCAAAGACGCGGGTGTAGAGGACGCCATCGAGTTCGAGGGTGACGTTGTCGGCGGTAATGGCGCTTTGACTGGGGATCTCGAGTGCATTTTCCTTGAGTGACTTGACGTAGGAGATGCGGTCGATAAAGGGGACGAGAATGGCCAGACCGGGTTCGAGGATGCGGTTGAACTTTCCCATGCGCTCAACGATCCATGCCGTCTGTTGCGGAACGAAGCGGATGACGGTGTTGGCGGGGAGGGACGACCTCTGGAAGTAGGAGGGCGGGATACTGGAGCTGGAGCCGAATGCTGATGGAAGCAGGCTCTTTGTGGTGGTCTGGAAGCCGCGCGACTGGGACTGGACGAGAGCCCGTCTCAGCGGCGCGGAGAGTGCGGCTTTTGTTACCGCCGAAGCCATGTCTGTTGCTGCTGCGGCATTGACGTAGATCGAGAAGATGCGTGGATCAAATCGAGGTTGCGAGCTCCAGAACAGCTCTCTCGCGGGTCATCATCAACTAAGGCCAAAGAGGATCTGTGGGTCTCCGTCGTTTGACCGGGGCAAAAAAAGTCCATGGATGACGGAAGTTGCAGCTGCCTCTGCCTACCGATAATTAGCCGACGGCCTCGGCCGAGGCCCACCGGGCTCTGATGCTCCCATTCCGTGGTGCTATGCCATGGGCATCCAGGATCCAGGACAGGACATCCTAGACATGGACGAGGTCTTGCATTGTCAGCTTGGAGACCAGACGGCACATCTGTTCGCAACGAATATGAAGCCCGCATACTCTGATTTTTTGCATTGGATCACAACCCTATTGATGTTGGCTAGTCATGAAACTTGGATCTCAAAACATTCAGCATCATGGCAGTCCCTAAGATGATCAGTCATTGCATCCATTACCACCTTACCGGATCAAAACTTGATACGACACCCAGTCTGAGTCCTCATCTGAAAGACTGCGATTGGTCTCAGAGGATAACAAGCCAGTATAGAATCAGCAGAGGGAGCCTGGAGAGTGGCGCCCAGTATAGATCTGAGTCTCGTACCCGCAGAGGTGCATGCTGTTGATGGTGTCCTCTTCCGTCTCACTCTGTCCAGAGCCTCAAAGCACAAAGACACATTGCCTTCCTTCACAGCACAGCATAATGAGCAGAGAGGACTTTGGGTGTGAAGAAAGTCATAATCATTGAGCCATACTACCCATGCCATGTGTACCGATAATCAGCCCGACCTACCCAGCCAAACCCTCTTTCGCGAATCGTGGAGAATCATGCACATAGGCCACTACTAGTATGTAGAACCTTCGGGAGGCTGGGGGATCTTCTTGTTCGCAGGAGCCGCCATGTACCTGGGAAAATGAACGTTAGCCTTGCCTGAATAGCAGCACTTCAGCGTGCACCCAGATCTACCTCCCCAACGTACCTTCTAAGCTCAATGAGAATGGTCTCCATGGTGTTGTCTCTCTTCCAGTTGGCCAGGCAAGGAAGCTGTCTGGGGTCGACGACGCCATTGCGGGAGTTGACGCAGGGCAGGTTGACCTGGCTCACAAATTGTATCGTGGGAGGCTCGTCAGGGTAGTTGGGACCACAGTGCATCTTGAGGGAGTAGATTCTGTTCTCGTGGACGCTCTACAAAGACAAAGGACCGGTCAGTGAAGCGCAACACCTCGATGGGGGTTGGTGAGCACAAAGGAGGTACTAACGTGAGGGGGTCCGAGAATGGTTCCGTTCCAGTCGGACATCAAGAGGTCCTCGGCATCGTTCAGACCGTAGGAGCAGGCCTCTACAATGAAAAGAGTCAGTCAGGACTGCGAGATGCGCGGGGCAGATTGCTTGGTGTTGCATCAGAGGGGAGGGGCTCTAGTACCTGCTCCGAGACCCTTCTCGCCCTTCTCAAGCTCCTCAAGGAGGCGGAAATTGCGTGGAACCTTTGCGCCCATGTTGAGTCGTGTGTGGGTATCGCGAGGCTTGGGTTCGGTGTGGTTGTGAAAGGGCGACTGGTAGATACCGCAATGTAGATGTTCAAAGTTGGAGGGGTTACGAAGTGGGAGGAAGGCCGACGGGGGACTGCAATGCGGCCCGGATCTTAGTTCCTTACCTAAACGTGAGGTAGGCACCTGGGTTACCTGATGGACCCAGTGGCGGGTCGCAGTGGGAACCTCACAGA